GAATGTGCAGTACTGAAAAATCAGTCCATTAAGACCAACAGTCATAAGCTAGAAACAACCCAAATTCTATCAATAACATTAGGTTTTACATTTTGTTGTTTTTCTATGGAAGTTTTTATATATATTTTTTCATGTTTCATAGATGTAATTCTAAGATAACCATTCTTCCCTACCTCCCTCCTATAAGTATTGAGATCCTTAAAATGGGTAATAAATTTCTGTAGTATTTGTAGAAATACTCTTTATCCATAATATCATTGTCAGTCATAACATTGAGACTTGAGTTTTGAAAATATGTTTTTAACTTTTATTTATCTATGATTTTTTTTAAAGATTTATTTTATTTATTTAAAAGACAGAGTTACAGAGAGGTAGAGACAGAGAGAGAGGTCTTCCATCTGCTGGATGGCTGCAACGGCTGGAGCTGTGCCAATCCAAAGTCAGGAGCCAGGAACTTCTTCTGGGTCTCCCATGTGGGTTCAGGGGCCCAAGGACTTGGGCCATCTTCTACTGTTTCCCAGGCCATAGCAGAGAGCTGGATCGGAAGAGGAGCTGCCAAGACTAGAACTGGCGACGCCCATATGGGATGCTGGTGCTTCAGGCCAGGGCTTTAACTCGCTGTGCCACAGCGCCGGCCCCTATTTATGACATTTTTGATAAGTGTTTCAAACAGTTTCACATTACTCTACTTTTACCTTTTTTCCTTAAATATCATTTTTCTACTATTATTGTTAGTTATATCTTCTATTGGTATTATATGTGCTTACCTCTAGTTACAAAAATTTTCAAGTAATTTGATAGCCCTTAGCTGAGTCTTTCACTAGTGAGGCAGAATTGGGAAAATCTCACAAAACAGTTGCACCTGTTCTGAGAATATTTGGTCATAAATTATAAATACCTTAAGTGTTGTCTTAGAAGAGTTAATATTCAAGGGTCTCATCAATGACCCATGAATAACAGAACACTTCAGGTCAAATATTTTAGATCAGAAGTGCGTGGAGAGAAAGTCAAGGGTAGGTTATAACTTTCTAAAAGTGAAATTTCCACTAAGACTTGGGAGATTGTCTCCTAGAAAACTGGAATTTTGGGGGCCAGTGTTGTGGTGGTCCAGTGATTTAAGCAACTTGCTATAATGGTGGCATCCCATATGAACACCAGTTCAAGTCCCAGCTACTCCACTTCCAATTCAGTTCCCTGCTAATGCACCTGAGAGAGCAGTGGAAGATGGCCCAAGTACTTCGGCCCTTGCCACTCACGTGGGAGAAATGGATGAAGCTCTTGGCTCCTCGACTTCAGTCTGGCCCAGCCCCAACCACTGTAGCCATTTGGGGAGTGATCCAGCAGATGGAAACTTGTGTCCTCTCTCTCTCTCTTTTTGCCTTTCAAATAAAATAAATAAATCTTTTTTAAAAATTGAAAACTGGGATTTTGAATTCTACTCATGATTTTTGTCAGGAAAAATTCATATTTGTGAAGTCTATAAATTTAGGTCAGAGTTTAAGGTGAGGAATGGCCAACAACAAATTCTTGAACAATGAGGGATGAATGGAGAAAAAAATTAAAATGATGGCAAAAAAGTAACAGAAACCTAACAAGCACAGCATAATTGGTCTGTGGAGATTTTCTCTCTGAGGGAAAGAAAGTTACTTCTTCCAAATCCCACATCTTTCCCAGTCCTCCTACCTTCCCGGGGCCATGCTGGCCTGAGGTCCTGTGGGCAACTCAGTCACATGCAGAGGCTGTCTGGTGCGTATGTAGGACCATGAGCCATGAATCTAGGGTCTCTGTAACACACAGTCTCTTTCTAAATTTTTAAGCCTCATGAGAGTTGGACTGAATGTGGTTTCTGAATATTAAAGGCCCCCTTTTAGCATTGGGTACTAAGAAAAAAATATGTTGGGTGACCAAACTGAGGAGGGAGTTCTGAGAGGAGAAGCACTCAACTTTTGGCTTGGACTGCTTTCTCAGGAATCACCAGCTCTAAATGTCACAGGTTGTTTCTTGTGCTACCTAAGAAAGTGTACTTTCTCATGTGTATTCTATTTTTTTTTCTGGAGTGGGAGGCAAAGAAGGGATTACATTTTTCTTTGTCAATTTCTGAAAAAAAAAACAGGAGGATGCAACAAGATATATCAGTACTTGCTAACTCTAGGAAATACAGTCCAGAGCATAGATTTGTGCTGAAAAACTCATTCTTAAATGATGATGGTCAGAAGCTAACATCTTCTGAAAGACTGAATTTAAACATTCTGTGGCTGGAAGCAAGTTAGGTATGTACCAGGAGATTTCAAAAAGTTCATGGAAGTGGAATTACAAGATGATTTATTTTGGTGCAAAAATTTTTTAAATCCAAGCCTAGTCTTTTTTTCATAATATCCAACTTTCATGAATTTTTTGAAGAGTCCCAATATAAGTATGAATAGGGAATGAAAAAGCAACTTAGGGCCGGCACCGTGGCTCAATAGGCTAATCCTACGCCTAGCGGCGCCGGCATACCGGGTTCTAGTTCCGGTCGGGGCACCAGATTATGTCCCGGTTCCCCTCTTATAGGCCAGCTGTCTGCTATGGCCCGGGAGTGCAGTGGAGGATGGCCCAAGTCCTTGGACCCTGCACCTGCATGGGAAACCAGGAAAAGCACCTGGCTCCTGGCTTCAGATCAGCGTGGTGTGCCGGCCACAGTGCGCTGGCCACAGCACCATTGGAGGGTGAACCAATGGCAAAAGGAAGACCTTTCTCTCTGTCTCTCTCTCTCACTGTCCACTCTGGCTGTCAAAAAAAAAAAAAAAAGGCAACTTAGCCAATTAACACTCTTGAGAAAACTCAAGCTTTCCATGGGGCTTTGTTTTTTGAGATGAACACTGATGCATAACTCTTGGAAACTTGAATCATACTTTCAGGGAGAAAAGATAGTACAGGAACATTCTACTATTATTGTAAGTTAATATTGTCAACTTACTTATGAAAATCTGTTTTTAGCTTTTATTTACATACCAAATTTTAAAAAAAGTCTTCAACTCTTAATGGTATTTCATTTGAACCCTTGTTCTTAAAGACAATTATTTCTGCTATATTATAATATATGTATCATTTTATCCCCCTTCCCTTCCTCCAATTAATTATAACATACTTGGATAGATGCTCTTTTTACAGATCAAAAAATGATGTAATTAAACCAGGAAATGGAAGTTTACTGGCATAGTAGATTATTCACTCCTGCAGAGAAACATTTAGAAAAGAAAACATGAAGAGGATGTAGAAATATGATATGCTAGCCAGGTGTGTCTCTGGTTTATCTCTGATTAATACCTTCATAGGCCTTGAAGAGAAATTACTGTCAAAGATCGAGGATTATGTTTTGTCAAATCCTCAACTAATGCTAAATTTTTTAAAAAGTGAAAGACTCAAAACACTAAGAGATTAATTTTTTTCCAACAAAGTCTTCATATTTGGAACCTGAGATACATTATGCAATCATCACATATCCCCCACCTGTCATCTTCAGTCCTCTGCTGGTCACATGCCCTTACGTGATTTGGTTCACATGCAACAGAACTATGGGCCACCCGACTCATATCCCAGTAGTGGCAGTTTTTGGCCAAGTTCTGAGGATGAGTTGCAGACATCGATTTTCCTCTTTGAGGTGACTCATCTTTCTTTTATATTTGCAGTGTTTGACAGTGATGCCTTCACATATCAACCTTTCCTTTTTTCATCAGGGATAAAAAATGTAGGCTTCCTCTTTCCCTGACAGAAATGACACAAAATGACTTGCTAAACTCCTGAGGCTCTAGAATAAATTATTAGGAATTATAGAACATTAATTCCTTTTATTGCCTCCCCCTTGTAACTTACATTAATTATTTGGTAGGAGTTGTTTTTAAAACTTAATTTACTCATAGATGAATCAAAGATTCATATGCAAATGTCCATAGACTTTTTATCTGCTGGTGAATCCCAATTTCAGCAACACTCAATTTGCGGTCAGCTGCCCTGTAGTGAATACATTAAATACAAAGCACGATTTTTAGCGCATATTTAATGGCACTACCTGAACACAGACAGCAAGCTGATATCTAGTTGGGACAGGTGCCATTAGTTTTATTGTCTCTCCTTAAAAGGCAGAATTAGAGAAACAGAGTGTGTGAGATATTGAGAGTACTCTTTACTAAGTCTAGAACCCAGAGAGGTACACCTGCTACCTGATGCACTCAAAAAGCCATCAGTGCCACGAGTCGTTCATGGGAAAGATGGGGAGTGGGACTTTACTTGCAGACCAGCGGAGGATACTGGAGGCTAGCACACTCTGGTCTGGACAGAGTGGTAGGCCGAAAGGCTGGAGAGGCAAGCTCTGATTGGAGCGGGTTGGACACGGACCCGCGCAGTGAAATGAGCTTTAATTCAAGGTATCTTTTTTCCCAGACCTTTCTCCTGACAGCGCTCCAGCGCTGTTAAATTCCGGTTTCACTCGGTCTCTTAGGGTCCGCAGATTAGATTTTCCTTCTGCGCGTGCCCAGGTTGCATGAATTACTGCGTGGGGCGCTGTTTCCTTGGCGCATGCATGGCCGCGCCCAAAACCGGGCTCCTATGAAAGAACTTTAGAAGTGTGTGATGAGATTGTTAAAGCATGCAATGGGTAATTTTCTGGAAAGGGATGGGGAAATATAATATGAGAGTCTGAATTTTGGGGGCATCAGAGGGTAACTTGATAAAGGGGCAATCTGATACTAAATCCGTAAGTTTTTTGGAAATCACTTGTGATTTGAATTAAGTGCAAACAAGATTACTAACAGTTTCAAAGAGCACTCTTGAGTCCTTGACATTTCCAAAGTAATAGTATATACGCAGAAGATGCGGTATTGATCAGACTACAGTGCTGCCTTCTGGTTATGGGACTTGAGGTAGAAAGAAATCAACACCAAGAGAGAAGACAAGAGTTTCCTAAGGGGACTAAGCAGACAGATTTGAGATGCGGGAAGAGTAAAGGGAGTTAAGAGATAATCAACAACTATTTCAATAAGTTAGTTCCAATTAATTATTTCTCATCACATTCCAGTCTGCAGACGATAATAATCTCTGTTCAGGACACATACAAATAGAATCAGTGGGAATGTGCAGCTACATAACCATTCACTATTTCTTAGTTAACAGACTAAATTCTATGGTGAGTATTTGAATTCTTATTCGTTAAAGAAAATAGTTAATGCATCAATGATTTTGATTTGCTTTTTGATAGTCATATTCGGCGGTTGACACATCCTCTGCCACTTTTCTAAAGAAGAAAGAAAATAATATTGGGATTCTTTCCTGTCTCTCCCCTGAAGAAGAGACAAATGTGGAGATTTTTCAGAACTGTGCCTAATAACTCAGGTCTTCATTTTTTACCTTACTGACTCTGAAATATAATTTTGTTGACTTCTTTTGCCTCTTAAAATCTGTTTTATGTTTGCTACTTTCTAAGTTGAAACCTAAAATTTCTAATTATAAAAGGTTGAAAATTGAACATCGCATTTTCATAGTTTGAGAATCACAGAAGTTAAAAAAGTAAATTTTAAAAAGGTGCTCATAATTGTTAGCTTATTTGCTATAGATTCCTTTTTATCCTCATCAGACTGGACAGCAGGCATCCTGTGCCCATAGTCAAGAGGGAAAAACTGGTGGTACCCAACAAAGAACTGAAGCAACTCCATGGTTAGGAATCTGGACCCAAAAGAGAGAGTTCAAGTTTTACCATTAAGCTTTCTAACTCAAGTGCCTAAGCTTTTTAATAAATATTTCCCATGTAGGGAAGGAGAAGCGTTTTTGGTTTGGTTACATTCTGGTATTTATTGATTTGTAATTTGGGATTGGTCCTCCAAGGCTCATGGGCAGGGAAAACCAGACCTGGATGAGTGAGTTTATTCTCCTGGGGCTGTCCAGTGACTGGGGTACCCAGGTATCCCTCTTTGTCCTATTCCTGGCCATGTATGTGATGACTGTGGTAGGAAATTTCCTCATCATCCTCCTCATCACACTGGACAGCAGGCTTCATATGCCCATGTACTTTTTCCTCAGTGTCTTGTCATTTGTGGACATCTGTTACACCAACAGCACTGTACCCCAGATGCTTGTTCACTTCCTGTCAGCATGGAAGTCCATCCCATTTCACAGCTGTGTCTTCCAGCTGTATATTTCTCTAGCAATGGGCGGCACCGAGTTCTTCCTGCTGGGAGCCATGGCCTATGACCGCTACGTGGCGGTGTGCCACCCACTGCACTACACAGTCATCATGCATGGAGGACTGTGCCTGGGGCTGGCTGTTGGCTGTGTGATGGCAGGATTCACAAATTCAGTGATGCAGACAGTCATCATCTTCCAGTTACCCTTGTGTCGCAATGTCATTAATCACTTTGCCTGTGAGATGTTGGCTGTGCTGAGGTTGGCCTGTGTGGACATCTCCTTCAACAAGGTCATGGTGGCCATCTCAGGATTTCTGGTGATCATGCTTCCCTGCTGTATGGTTTTATTCTCCTATAGTCACATAGTTGCTGCCATTCTGCGCATTCGCTCTGTGCAGGGACGTAGCAAAGCCTTTGGGACCTGTGCCTCACACCTCACTGTGGTGTCCCTGTGCTTTGGAACAGCTATCTTCACGTATATGAGACCTGTGGGTGCCTCCTCAGCAGAACAGGAGAAGATGGTTGCCCTCTTCTATGCCGTAGTGACACCAATGCTTAATCCCTTAATCTACAGCTTGAGGAACAAGGATGTGATGAGTGCTTTTCAGAGAGTATTGGAAAAGTTTGTTGAAACAAAGAGAAAGATTTGAAGAATTCATTCTTCCCTCCAACATTCCAAAGACAGCACCATAGACAATGAGGAAACTATGGATCTACAAGAGTTTCTGACATGGTGAATCACACTTTCATAAATTGGCTCTCTACACTGTAGTTTTAACATAGTGTTACCACCATATTATAAATGTGGTAAAACAAAACAAAAAAATTCCTTCAGTTGTTAAACTGGGGATCTGCTTGGGAATATGTCCTCCTTGACTCTGCACCCCTCTAGGTTTCAAGAAATGCAGTGTGGACAAAATGAGGAGCTTCAGAGTGAGAACAGCCACACTTTCCTGAGCCCACCTCTCACCAACAAGATGGCTTTGAAAAATGTACTTCATACCTCTGAACTCTAGTTTCCTCAATTATAAAAAAGCAATAAAATTTAGTATATGTGATTATTTTTAAAGTTATAATTTTGTAAAATGTCTATCAGAAGGTTAGGCATACAGTATATATTCAACTATTCTTTAATATTTGTGTTTATTGGAGGTAGCATTGTGGCATAGTGGGTAAAACCCCTGCCTGCAACACAGGCATCGAATATAAGAACTTGTTCAAGTCCTGGCTACTCCACTTCCCATCCATCTCCATGTTAATGGCCTGAGGAAAGCAGAGGAAGATGGCCCAAGTTCTTGGGCCCCTGAAACCCATGTGGGAGACATAGATGAACCTCTTGGCTCCTGGTTTTGGCCTGGCCCACCTCCAGCTTTGCAGCCATCTGAGGAGTGAAACAGTTGACTTAGGATTTCCTTCTCCACACTCAACCCCGTAACTCGAACTTTCAATTAAATAAATAAATCTTTAAAATTGTATTTGTTAATGTTTTTGTGTATTTGAAAGGCAGGGACACACACACACACACAGAGAAAGGTGGGGGGACATATATTGGTGGTTGGGATAGAGATCTCCCATTCATAGGTTTACTACACAAATGCCCATAACAGCCTGAGTAGGCCAAGCCAGGAACCGAAACCCAATCTGGGTATTCCACATTGGTTGCAGGTACTCAGGTACTTTAGCTATCACTTTCTACCTCCCAGGGTATACAATATCAGGAGGCTGGAATTTGAGGAGCAGAGCTGGGACTCAAATCCAGGCCCTCTGATATGTGATGTGGGTGTCTCAAGCAACATCTTAATCATCGGGTCAAAAGTCAGCCCCGGGGTCGGCATTGTGGTACAGTAGGTTAATCCTCCACCTGCAGTGCTGGCATCCCAATATGGGTACCAGTTTGAGTCTGGGCTGCTCCTCTTCAGATACAGCTCTCTGCTATGGCCTGGGAAATCAGTTCCTGGCTTGGCCTAATCAGGAAAACGGCCCAAGTGCTTGGGCCCCTGCAGCCACATGGGAGACCCAGAAGAAGCTCCTGGCTTGGGATCAGCTCAGCTCTGGCCATTGTGGCCATTTGGGGAGTGAACCAGTGGATGGAAGACCTCTCTTTGTGACTCTCCCTCTTACTGTCTGTAACTCTACCTCTCAAAATAAATAAATAAATAAAAATCTTAAGAAGTCTGCCCCATCAAGTATTAAAAAACTGTTTTACGAAAAAATTGTTGGACTAAGCATTATGCAACCTTCTCTTTCCCATATAATTATTTGAGTTTTTCTTCTGTTTCTGTGGCCATTGTGGATCAATGTTCTTTGTCTACTATAGGTGATCTAACCTAAAACATGGCATCTGTATCTATTTTTCTGTATGTCTATCCATCATTCTATTTTTAAGTAAATTTTTCTACCCAAGACAGACAAGAGCTTTCTCACAAACTCCAAACAAATGTTCCCAATTGGTTGCTTAATAGCACTTATATAATATGAATCTCCTTTTTAACATAGCTAAAATAGAACTGGTGTGCTTGTTTCCTCTATCCCAAACTACTCATAGTACACTATCATTGTATTTTTTAAAGGAATCCTCATTAATTAGATGAGGAAATTGGTTTCACAGATAAGTTTATGCCTATTCCCTCCTTTACCTGTATAAATAGTGGTCTAAGGGAAGGAATGGAATCCCCAAAGTACAGGGGAGAGAAAATAAGAGAAAAATATTTATGAGAAATGTCAGCAACATCTTGGAAGCTACAAATCAACATATCCTTCCTCTTCCTTTCCGCCCCATGCCTCTTCTTCCCTTCCCTCTCCTTTTTCTCCCCTTTCCTACTCTCCTCTCTTGTAAGATGCAGAGCTAATTTGCGATTTATTGAATTTCTCTTTCCAGCTCTAGCACTCATAAAGATAGTCCTTTCTATGTAAATGGTATATTGTAGTCAGCTCTAGAATGAGCCAGGAATTGGCCTGTTTTTATAGAATAATGCCATATAGCTGAGCAGAGGATGGGCTTTCATATGATCAATGAACACAGCTGAAAACCTCTCACTTTTTATGAAGGGGAGAGAGAAATGTATTGTAGCTCTACAGCTTTCACAGCACAAAGCCTAGCATCTTATCTGGAGATTGTCTGATTTAAACTGAACACTATCATATTTAAGCACAAAACAGAGTAAGATCTGTGTTTGGTAAAGGAAAAGAAAGGGCACAAGTTCTAAGAGAGTTACAGGTTGCAGAGGTAGATTTCCAAACACAGCATCCCAGTAAAAAGCAACGTCTCACCAAAGACTGGAATCTCCCTGCACATATACAGATAGAATTGTGTGCACAGGCTCCAGAGCTGTCTGGACCAGGAGTTACTGCTCAGTGGGATGTGGGGATTAGTGAATTGGATTGAGGATGTAGATTTAATCACATCATCATGCTCACAATGGGAGATAAACGTCCCTACCATTCCAAAGTATTACCAAAGACTCAGATGTACTTCCCTTGAGAAATTAAAGTTTGCCAAGTTCTATCCCCTACTCCAGGGACAAGGAAATGAAACTTCGATTTGCAAAGTTGAAGCAGAGGTTTAGGTGTTGGGTGTAGAAGTGGCCATACAGAGGGGGAGGGGATCTAAATGAAATTTGATAAACAAAACATAATTAGCCCCTTGAGATTTCTTCCCTAAAGTTTGAGAAAGTCACTTGTTCCAAATGCATTTTCAAATTCCACAACTTTCACAGCCCTACCACCCTTCCAAGATATTTTCCATAATAAGCACCCTTAGTTTTTCTTACAAGGGAACAAAGGTCTTTCAATCATGTGTCCACCATATGCTGTTGTGTTCATTTCTTTATCAGACACATAAGTGTAAGCATGATGACCTTTTCAAGTTTACAAAAGAGGCTGATGATATGATGCAGAACATAGACCCCAACTAGGAATGATAAGAAATACTTCTCCCCTTCCATCTGTTGTCTGGGTGGCTTGAAGGCCGTATTTCACCTTTATAGGTAAGTGGGCAAGAACCTACTCTATTCCAAAATGACCACTGTGTCAGTCTCTGAAGTGAATCAGTTCTGAAGTAGGAATTCTGTTAGTCCTCTTGATATATTTCCTGATTTTTCCGTGCAGTTAATTCTAGCCTTTCAACAGTAATACAGCATTACACAGCACTACACTTATGGGCAGCATAATGGATAATTCCCAGGTTATCAGATAATCCTTGTTTACCTACTGACTCTTCCCCCATGTAGTCACATCACCTCTTTTTTCCATATGCAAAATATAGATCATAAGCCAAAGTTCTGAATGCTATTATTATATTTATTATATTAATAGATGTATAAGATATTTAGTATAATGTCTGTGTAATGTGTGCTCAGAAAATAAAAAGTAAAAGCTTATACCAATGTGACCTAGAGATAAGTACAATCACAATTTAATTCTTCTTGTAACATTCATTCTGCTTCCAAGAGTTTTTGCATTTGGTTGGCCTATGATGCTTCAAGACTTTGCTTGTTTTTCTTCCCAACTTCTGCCACTAAAATAATAGAGGAGACAGTTTTTCTAAACCCAAAATTGACCATTCAGTGATTCACTGTGCAATTGATTTTGCATAAGTTTTGTTTAACAAATTCCATTAAAGAACAGATCACAGAGGAAACACTTCTTGGAAATTATCTCACTTTGGTATATTTTCATTTTTATTTGTGACTTACATAGTTATTAAGTTCACTTGTTTAAATCCTATAACAAAACAGGAAGTCTAAAATAACTGTTAATTCCTTTAATATCTTTACTGCAGAAATTCTTGAAGTGTGTGTGTGTGTGTGTGTGTATGGAGAGTCAGAGAGAGGCAATTCTCTGTCTTCTAAAACAGCAGATATTCCAGCCTTCATGACATTATGTGGGAAGGAGAAAATAAAGAAAAGGAAAAAGGAAACAGTCTCACATAGAGGAAATATAATTTATTCTTTAGATTTCAAATAATATCCCTAGAAAAGGTGGCTGTAATGAACTTTCTAGAAAACTCCCTTGCCCATGAAACTAGACCTAATGATTCTCTTAATCCAAATATTCTGAAAAGCATAAGTGCAGGAAAGCTTATTGGGAGCAAAGCAGTTGAATGAGAAGGAATGGATAGGTCTTACATTATCTATATTCTGTAGAATTGTCCCTTTTGCTGTTGGTGAATCTCTGAAAAGCACTGTAGTATCAGAAGTACATTTATGTGGGGCTGTGGTAGGAAACCTATCCAGCTCATATTTGTATTTGTATTTGCTTTTTTTTTTCCCCACAGGCAGAGTGGATAGTGAGAGAGAGAGAGAGACAGAGAGGTCTTCCTTTGCCATTGGTTCACCCTCCAACGGCCGCTGCTGCTGGTGTGCTGCGGCCGGCGCATCGCGCTGATCTGAAACCAAGTGCTTCTCCTGGTCTCCCATGGGGTGCAGGGCCCAAGCACTTGGGCCATCCTCCACTGCACTCCCGGGCCATAGCAGAGAGCTGGCCTGGAAGAGGGGCAACTGGGACAGAATCTGGCGCCCCGACTGGGACTAGAACCTGGTGTGCCGGCACCGCAAGGCGGAGGATTAGCCTATTGAGCCACAGCGCCGGCTGTATTTGCTTTTATGACTTGGAAAATTTTCCAACAAGTATAATGATTCTAGTACAAACATCTTTTAAGCCAATGCAAGATGTGGCAGAATAAAAAGAAACTGAGGTAATACAGAATAATAGAAAAGCGCAAGGAAGAGAGCATAAAGAAAACAATGCTATTGCGTTTTAGTTATGAAAGCTTAAAAATTGTTATTTTTGAACATTGTATCAAAATATAGCTCTTGATTATAAATTACCTAGTTTTTAACTTTGAGAGGCAGACACCTCCACACCCACACTCACACACCTACACACACATGGCAGGGAGGAGAGCACTCCCAAAATGCCTGCAATGACTGAGGCTAGACTCAAGCCTGGAGCCAGCAATGCAACCCAGGTCTGGCCTGTGAGTGAAAGGAACCCAACCGCTTGAACATCACTGCTGCCTTCCAGACTCTTAGCAAGAAGATAGAGACAAGAGACAGAGCTGAGAATTGCACTCAGGCTCTTTGATGTGACTCATAGGTACTTTAACTGCTAGGTTCAATGCCCACTTCAATTGCCTATTTCTGATGCAGATTTTGAATCTTTTTTCTTTTCATGTGGTGAAGAATCTTACCATATGTAAGCACTGTACATTTGTTTGCTGTTCTTACAGCTGAGTATGTTGTCCAGTTGATTTTGGCATGGGGGATTAAAATTTTCTATATAAGGTGTTGAATTAGTGTCTGACATGATCCTTTCCACTAAATTCTGTTTAGTTATCAGTTTATGAAAACTCTGTTTTTAATAAGCTCCTTGGCATCTAGGAGCTTATTCAAAACAATACTAAATCCTAAGTACTGTGTAATTAACCATCTGAATATGGTCATCTTCATGATGATGACCTTTAATCCTAAGTACCCCAACCACCTGTGTTAATTACTCATGTAATGATATGATCTCTACTAACAATTCCTCAAGTTTTCAGGCTGAGACTAGAAGCTTTCAATAAATGAAATAGTAGTCTAATTTCTCTCTGTAGTTGGATACCAATATTTTGTATAGACCATTCATAAACTGTCAGTATTCTCTGCAAGACTACATACCCCCAAAATGTAATATTTTATGAATAGCTTCCTTCTTTCTATAAGTAATTAAAGATAAAATAAATCTTATTTTGGGGTTAAAAATTACTTTGTGTGAGATAATATATCATTGTAGTCTTGATATTCATTTCCTTGATGTATAGTTGTTTTTGAGAATCTTTTAATACAGCTATTGGCTATATATGTGTGTTCTTTTTTGAAATATTTCTTCAAGAACTCAACCATTTTAAAATCTATGCTTATTTTTTTTTTCCTACTGATTTGCTGGAGTCCCCTATATGGATATTAACACCTTATACAGAATGTACTTTGCAATTTTTTATTTCATAAAATTTTCATTTTAATTATTTCCATGCTGTATAAAGCTTAATTAAATATGTTTTTAAAAAGAAAAACATATCAGTACTACTACATTATATAACCAAGTCTTTATCCTCTATCCTTCAATTTTCACTGATAAAAACTAACGCATTTTCCACAGAAAGTGGATGAACTACACCTTCCCCAAGAAAACATTGTTGGCAAGTAATAAAGTAACATCATTAAGCAGTTTGTTAAATTAACCTTGAGGGCCTGAGAGATTAATTGTGGTAGTTATGTATACCTTCACATCATTCAACACCTGATCTTTGAGGTTGATGTCACCCAACTGGGCAAACAGTATGAGGTAGGTAGGGAGTAAGCCTTCCTCTTGAAACTCTAAAAGTAAGAGGGAAAACTACAGAAAAAAATTCAAAAAGTATTTAGTGATAAATGTATATAAACATTGTATGTAGAACATGTAATGTCTCATGGGTGCATTCTACTGAAGATGGGTGAGTAGGGATGTGATTTAAGACTTTTAGAGGAGAAATATAGGAAGCAAAAAGTACTGAATATCATTCACAATTCAAAAATATCTTTCCTCTGGACTAAAATATGCTCACCAGAAAGACAAGAATTATCTCCTATAATAACTAATAAATTTATATTTTAAGTATAAATTCTTTACCAATATTCTTTCTCCAAATAAGAGACTATTTTTAGGAAAAGAAATCATGTTCCAATAAACTGAATTCCCAAAATGTAACTTCTTTTCTGCTTACTCTCCAGCTGCAGAGGTGTTCCACTGTGTTCTTCATCCATGGATGTGTTCAGGCAGAGTTTCAATGATGATTTGGCTGAGATATCCTGGGTAATTTTTAAGTTCAGATTGGTATCCTCTTAATATCATCTAAAAACTGCCCTTCCAATCCTAGGTTTCTCTGATTTGTTCTGTCTACACTTTAGTTTTGTCCTCAGAAGTTCATGGGCCAGGAAAGCAAAAACCAGACATGGGTGAGCGAGTTCATTCTGCTGGGGCTATCCAGTGACCGGGGCACACGGGTATTCCTTTTTGTCCTGATCCTGATCATGTACATGGTGACTATTGGGGGAAATTCCCTCATTCTCCTTCTGATCAGACTGGACAGCAGGCTTCATAACCCCATGTACTTTTTCCTTAGTGTCCTGTCCTTTGTCGACCTTTGTTATGCAAACAGTTTGGCTCCACAAATGCTATATCACTTGCTCTCACCCCAAATGCCCATCCCTTTCCACAGCTGCGTGCTCCAGCTCTATACTTCCCTGGCACTGGGTGGGTCTGAGTTCTTCCTGCTGGGAGCCATGGCCTATGACCGCTACGTGGCAGTGTGCCATCCATTGCACTACACAGTCATCATGCATGGAAGGCTGTGCCTGGGACTTGCTGCTGGCTGCTTGGTGGCTGGTTTCACAAACTCACTAATGGAAACAATCATAACCTTCCGCCTTCCTCTGTGTCACACTATTATTAATCACTTTGCCTGTGAGACCCTAGCGGTGCTACGGCTGGCTTGTGTGGACATCTCCTTCAACCAGGTCATGGTGTCCATCTCAGGATTTCTGGTGATTGTGCTTCCCTGCTCCCTGGTTTTATTCTCTTATGCTCGAATAGTTGCTGCCATTCTACAAATTAGTTCTGCCCAAGGACGTAGCAAAGCCTTTGGCACCTGTGCCTCTCACCTCACTGTGGTTTGCATGTGCTTTGGCGCCACCATCTTTACCTACCTAGGCCCACAGTCTGCATCCTCAGAAGAAAAAGAGAAGATGATTGCTCTGTTCTATGCTGTGATAGCGCCCATGTTGAACCCTTTGATCTACAGCTTAAGGAACAGAGAAGTTATGGCTGCATTACAGAGAGTTCTAGAAAAAGTCAGATAAAGGATCAAGAATCTTAAGAACTTCTTGTTATCTGTCATCAAAAAAAGATAGTGTTGAGAGGACTCACATAGTTACACTAAAAATTATTATGGCCTGATCCATGCAAAAAATAATGTAGTCCTCTGCATGCTTAATGAATTTCCTTTTATAGATCAATATTTGATAAGTTACATGTTAGTGATTCATGAGAGCCCTCTTTTTTAGAGCATATTTTCTCAGAGGTCCAGGGTTCTTTGCACTTTGTCTGCCCATGCTTTGGATTTTGTCACTGTATCATTGTATAAAGAATGATGCCTAGCTCCATCAAAGATAACTGGTTTGAAATCCTTGTTCTGACTTTCACCAGCGATACCATCTGGCCAGTTAGTTAACATTTTATGGCTTAACTTGTCTTCTTTGTTAAAAAAATAGCACTTACCTTCTAGAATGGTTGTAAATACTAGAGATAATTTGTGTAAAATGCCTACATTACAGTTGACAGTTTCAAGTAATCTGTTATCTTTAGCCAGGTCAGTGTTCCAAATTGTCAACAAATATGCAAACATTACTAGAATATATAGCGAATGAATGCTGTCATTCTTGGAAATAACTTCCAGAAATTAAAGGTACAATCACTTTAGACATTTTGGGATATCTCTTGAACTCTGACCCTTTCTGACAAAGAAGACAATTTTATACTAACCATAAATAAACCAGGTAAACTGTAATATTTGTTTTATTTTCATAACTATGATGCTTTATGGATGTTTTAAATGACCTAGGTTCTCAAAATTTGAAATTAAGATATTCTTTATATAGCTTTGCAACTGTGATGTAACTAAGGACATTTCTGATAAATTTCATTACCCGAAATAAACTTACCTATAATTCCATATTTACAAGAAATTTTTGAATTTCTGTCATAAATGGTAACCCCACATTCTGAGCTATTAATTCAAACCTAACCAAAACTATCTATATGTGTTGTTGCCTCCTCTTCTCTCAAATTCTTTTTAGTAAATATACCAACCTGTCAATATAGAAAGCAAATTCCATACATCATTAACGAACTCTAGTTTCTAGAGTTCCTAGTGAATATTAAGTCACTAAATTCTCTCAACTGATAATTAATAATCTATCACAGAATTTTTCCCAAATGCTAAAATCTGTGTTTTCAGATCCTTTTTCCTTATTTTGCAAATTTAAGGGGTAAAAAGCCCACATTTGTTTGTCCTCATATTTATGATATAGATTACAAAAGCTACCTTGTGTGCGTGTATATTATAAAAAGAAATACTTTCCTGTGTGGCTTTTTCTTAATTTCATCACGCGAAGATAATTTCATTTGATGAAAAGATTCATTTAATCTTTTTTCCATACGTTAACATAAAATCAAATTTTATAAAGGTAGTTAGTCCTTTTCTATCCCTTTACTTCAAATATTACTATTATTCAAATTTTTCACTTTTTCTTCAACACTTTAGGTTATATCAGAATATTTACTAATTGGATATTTAATGCTTTTGTTATTTTTGCAGATTCATGTCTATCCCTTGTATCCACCTAATGCAGCATAGCTATCACTATAAAAACATTTTCTCACAATATATAATATTGGTTGAAAATAGATAAGCAATAGGCCAGCGCCGCGGCTCACTAGGCTAATCCTCCGCCTAGCGGCGCCGGCACACCGGGTTCTAGTCCCGGTCGGGGCGCCGGATTCTGTCCCGGTTGCCCCTCTTCCAGGCCAGCTCTCTGCTGCGGCTAGGGAGTGCAGTGGAGGATGGCCCAGGTGCTTGGGCCCTGCACCCCATGGGAGACCAGGAAAAGCACCTGGCTCCTGGCTCCTGCCATCGGATCAGCGCAGTGCGCCGGCCGCAGCGCGCCGGCCTCAGCGGCCATTGGAGGGTGAACCAACGGCAAAGGAAGACCTTTCTCTCTGTCTCTCTCTCTCACTGTTCACTCTGCCTGTCAAAAAAAAAAAAAAAAAAAAAGAAAAAGAAAAAAAAGAAAAAAGAAAAAAAGAAAAGAAAATAGATAAGTAATTAATTTAGTTTCCTTATTTTCTCCTTTTACTTCACATTAGAATTTTTCTTGATGATACACAATCAGAATACTTTCAACTACTCAGTTCTTGCAAAATAATTTAAAAAGAGACACCTTCACTTCAGGAAAAGATAGTGTAAGAATAAGCACCTAGCCACTCTCCCACCCCCCCCATCTCAAGAAACCACTAGCATGTTCATAAAAAAATGAAAAATACACTGATACTGAAAGGAAGGGTATTTTCAACCAAAAAATTTTAAGAATCCCCACCAGAATCACCAATAATGTGAAATTAAAGGAAACATCATGAAGAAACAAAAAAATGAGTAGAAAGAATTCCCCAAAATGCACTGATTTTTCCTAATCTAGAGATAAAAGAACTGTATGTGTTGGCAGATGATGGGTAAAATGGAGTCAAAGCACTGAGAATCATCTATCTTCCCCACAGTACAGTATTCTAAGTTCATAAAGAAAAGGACCACAAGAGAAAGATCTTTTATGGTGTTAAATTGACCCCCTAATTGCAGCATGAGCTCACTCAGATGTAGACAAAAGCCATTTTAGCTTGGTGGAGACAAAATTAAAAATAACTATGCACCATAGAAAAAGCAGGGATCTCTAGTAGAAATGAAGTCTATCACATTTCACTTTTAATACTTTGAGTCAAGAACAGTAGGGGCTAGTAAACTACAAACTGAAACTCTTCGGATGACAGGGTTTTTTTCCGACTCTAATCAGTTTCATATCACTTAATAGCAGCAGGAAATTACTTTCTGGAAAAAGAAAATTAGAATCAAATATTGGGGGAAAAAGACTCACAATATCCTAACTCTGTGATCATAAATCCAGGTAATGTTCTCTATTTCATCTTTGCACTGCTGAAACAACCAAGCTAAGCAAGAACAGCTGTGAAATGACTTATTTTGGTGGAACAGATTATACAGCACTGAGGAAAATCATACAGAGATCTTTGCTTCCTCTAAGACTTCGATGCTTCTTTCTTCACTTGGCAGCCTACTGAATGCCAAACCAATGATTTAAGTCTAAATCCTTAGATATCCACTTTCAATTTTAAGCATACAAGTCTAATGACCAAATAAATATACTGCGCTTGTGGAAAGGTGATCAGAGGCTGGGAAGCCACATTTGCTATGATACTGATTTGAATAACATTCCTCATGAAATAAATAATAGGGTCTGGTGCTGTGGCACAGTAGGTTAACCTTCTGCCGACCAGACTGGCATCCCATATGGGTGCCGGTTCTGTCCCAGCTGCTCCTCTTCCAATCCAGTTCTCTACTATGGCCTTGGAAAGCAGAAGATGGCCCAAGTGCTTGGGCCCCTGCGCCTGTGAGGGAGACCAGGAAGAAGCTCCTGGCTCCTGGCTCTTGGCTCCTGGCTTCAGATCAGATCGGATTGGCTCAGCTCCAGCTGTTGCAGCCATTTAGGGAGTGAACCAGAGGAAGAAAGATCTCTCTCGTCTCTCCTTCTCACTGTCTGTAACTCTATGTTTCAAATAAATAAATAAAATCTTTTCTTAAAAAAGAAACAAATAATAAGTGTAGACAACAAATATTAGTGCATTTTTTATCAGTGGAATTACGTTAAATAGTGTTAGTAGAAAACCTAAAGAAATACTAGCTTAAATACAATGGAAATTAGTCTTAAGCAAAGCAAGACTGCCTGACTTTCAAAGGTACAGGAACTGAACCTCCTTTTGTGTTTCTGATGCATCATTCTAGGCACATAACTTCTATCTTGTGTTCTAAAATATGACTTGAGATCCAGTCAACACACTCCCATTTGCGCCATCAAAAATAAAAGAGAAAAGAGCATCCTATTGCCATTGGGGACACTTTTAAAAGTCATACATAAAACTGCTGCTTACTTTCTACTGACTAGATCATAGTCACTTGACCATATGTACTTGTATATTCACAGGTGACAAAGGTAATTATTAGTGATTATGTACTTACCTTAAAGTGAGAAAATTTTCTGATATTAAGAAACAAGACCAGAATGAATATCAAAGGATCTAGTAATCTCTGGTGGTATTACTCAAAAGAAATTTAAACATATCAACTTGTTGAAAGTAAGGTGATAGGCAATAAAATGAAATACGAAAGAAGCTAAGAGGATTACAGTAATGTACAGATATAAAGAAAGCTAGATCATACTTTATGAATGACATTAAAAGCAAACTTAACAGTGTAGAAAAATGTATCTTTGATATGAAATCAAAACGAAGATGACAGATATAATACAGACTAAAAAGATACAACATATGGATAACTGGTATTTCTGATGGAAAAGACATTGAATAAAAATGATTTTCTGTTTTCAATTATAATTAATTAAAACTTCACTTCAATAAAAGGTTTTATCCTTCAGAATAAAGCTCACCATTTTCCTTCATATTAAAGTGACATAATAAACCTGCATATACGTTGGTGAAATTACTGAATTTCGGGTATAATTATAGGATCCTAAAGATCTAGAAAGCAATCAAAAAAGTTACTTAGAAACATATTAAATTAATGTATTAGTTTTTCATTGATTTGTGATACTTGCATATTTATAGATTAAAAGAACAGAAATTTATCATCATAAATATTATTGATATATCAGAAGTCCAGGCATTATATATACCCAAGTTCTGAACTGAGGGTCTAACAAGGCTGAAATTAAGGTGTCAGCTGGAGCAACCATCTTATCTGAGGCTCAAGGTCCTCTCCCAAACTCACTAGTTATTGAAAGAGCTCATTTCCTTGCATTCTCATGACAGGTAACCATAATACCATTTTGTTGTTGCTGCTAGCTCCTGGGGACCAATCTCAAATCTCTATACATGGCCTACTCCTCTCACAGCAGCAGCTTTCATCTTCAAGACTCTACTGTTCCAAATCTCTGACATCTGGGAAAGCCTGAAACTTTTTATGGGTTTCACATGATTGGGTCAGTATCAGTCAGGATAGTCTATTTCAAGGAAATAAAATCAAGTGATCAATTACATCTTTAAAAATCTCAATTTTCTAGGTAGTGTAACATTATTACTGGAGTGAAGTCTCATTATGTATTGCCCTGCTCATAGTGAAAGGGAAAGGCCTGCACAGGTTATGTACACAAAAAACTGAAGATCATGGGTCAAATTATCATTCTGTCTATGGCATCTAGAATCAGCCTTTGCAATATTAGATTAAAGAAGACAATGTAATTATAGCTATCTACAGAATATCGGGTTTACATACTGCAAAATAAAAATACTATGCCAATTTAAATTATTGTTTGCTTTTATTAATGACAAATACATATTTATATGTGCAAAAAAATTCAATACAATTATTACCCATTCATTCTTCATGAAGACTATAACAATTACAACAAAAATGTGACAACTTCATCAATGAAAGATAACCTATAATAAAGTACTAAGAGATGTAAAACTTAAGCTGTTACAAGACAGGCAATATGTTAACATCTCTAAAGTATAAAATTAAGTTTTTTTTTTTTTTTCTTCAGAGTGACAGTGAGAGAGAGTGAGAGAGAGAGACAGAGAGAGAAAGGTCTTCCTTTGCCGCTGGTTCACCCTCCAATGGCCGCCGCTGCAGCCGGCGCACCGCGCTGATCCTGGCAGGAGCCAGGAGCCAGGTGCTTTTCCTGGTCTCCCATGGGGTGCAGGGCCCAAGCACCTGGGCCATCCTCCACTGCACTCCCTGGCCATAGCAGAGAGCTGGCCTGGAAGAGGGGCAACCGGGACAGAATCCGGCGCCCCGACCGGGACTAGAACCCGGTGTGCCGGCGCCGCAAGGTGGAGGATTAGCCTATTGAGCCACGGCGCCGGCTAAAATTAAGTTTTAAATGCTGTAAA